GTGAACTGACCAAAACCTGATGCAACCACCCAGCAGATGGGGGAAATAAAAACCAAACACCCCCCTACCCCACTCATGCTGCCAATCCTCAACAGAAATGCTCACAACAATGAAAACCTCGGACAGGAGGAAGAGCGCCGCCGGGTGGGCAGACAGGTGTCTTGCTTGGCTGTTCCTTGGGGGGCACTTTTTTCACTGCCACTGTAACTTCAAACAGTCACTAAGCAAACTGTTGTAACTTGAGGACTACCTGTACTTTATCACTTTTTTTACTTTTTTTTGTCATCAAGTTTTCAACACCTTGCTAGGCGATTGGTGGTACTCGGATATTGCCATATCCTAAAAGTGGTACAATAGGTGAAAAGGTTGAAAAGCCCTGCTATAGATGATAGACTGATAGATAGGTATGAATGGACCATGCTGCTTCAATTTCAGATTTATTTACTTTATTGAAAGTACATGTAATATAATCTGGATCAGGACCATTAGGCATAGGAAAGGGAAACATCATCCTTTTTTCTAGCTCTTTTGTTTGAATTAATAAATAGAACAACCTTCACCATTGCCAATCATAGACTCTGTGAAAAGGAAAAGGGGGCAACCTGATCATGATGCCTTTGAACTGTCATTCCCCATGTTTCCAGCTCAGTTATAAAACAGAAAAAGCTTAGATTTTGAACCTTCTGCAATTCTGAGGACAACTCATCCCAGCAGAAACATGCTTGAGAAAGAGCTGAAGAAGAGATGCTTCCCTCTGTTAACTGCACCATTAACCATTTCTTACAGTGGAAGGATCCACTGGGAGAGAGAACCAAAATGCTGTCCAGTCAAATGCACTGGTGTTTGTGTTTCTAAAATTGATTCAAAGCTGTTTTCTAACCCAAGTCATCTTAAATGTTTCAGACTCAAATCACCCTAAGCGACTTGATTCGTATGCTGTTCCTAGCTGTTTACTAAGTTACCTTCAAAAATTCCACTCTTCATTGCAAAACCTGGGGAACAGACCTGACTGATTGTTCCCCACTCCTTGCTCTTCTCATATATGGAGGGAAGGCTAACTCCCACATAGACCACTTTGCCAGTGCCTGCTTTTTCTTTTCTTTTCTGTTCTTTCTCTTTCTTTCTTTCTTTCTTTCTTTCTTTCTTTCTTTCTTTCTTTCTTTTTTTCTTTCTTTTTTTGAGGGATTGTTCCGCCTCACTAGCATCATGCCTTTCCTTTGCTTTCCCAGAGATTTCCGTACACAAATGCCTTCACATCCCTTCCTTTCTCCTTATCATTGCTCTTTGTAGGTCCAGGAAAACTTGTAAGAAGAAAGAACTGATGGTTTGATTTCATAGGGGGAAAAAACAGAGACTTTCCGATGTTGTAACTTTTTTTAACAGGAAGGGTAAGGATACATACAGTATTGTACTGGGATAGGGAAAGGTAAAACAAGGGGAGGATGTTTTACCCAGCCTGGGCAAACACCAAAACAGTGCCCACTAAGAGATGCAAGGATTGAATGAAGCATGAGTTTCTAGAGACCTCATTGAATTAAAAGGGCATTGCTAGATCAATGCAGGATTATATATAAAAAAAGTAGCAGTTGTCAACCAGCAGAGAAGCTGCCAGCCTAGGATGAAACAACTACACAGAGCAGTGTCCAGCCACTGGAGGGGAGTAAGGTATGTAAGCATCATATCCCATCAGAGCTAGGGCTCTTACTACAATGGAATGAACCTCTGGAGATCATCTACTCTAAAGGGCTTATGGGTGTCATAAAATTATCGTTTCAAATCTGAGTTGGAAAATGTTGTGTGGGCCCATTTGCAATGGGCTGGAGTGGGGAGATGATGATGATGTCACCCGTTTCTGCATTCAAGAAGTGGGGGGTGGAGTACACTGATGGGTTAAAAAGAAAATGAAAGCCTGTTCCTTGGGATACAAGGTGGAATTCCCCAAAGATAGGTCCCCAGGGCCCTGTTTAAAGTGTTGGCAGTCAGGAAGCTGATTGCATGAGGCATACATGGCACTACAGTTGAATAAATGTGAACGCAGATGAGAGACGTGGGACCAGCAAATTGGTTTATGTGTAAATGACCATGTGCAGTAAGACTGTGCAGCAGTGTAGAATCAAAGGGAGGCCTGTGATTCAAAGACATGTAACATTTATCAGAAACACCTTAAAGCAGATGGACCTTTCCTGAACTAAAGTGGCTGCTTTCTGTAGCCATGTTTGGATTAAGACGTTTCTGGCGGGTGCACCCATTTTTCTCTGAATCCCATTTCTCCCTTCATATCCAAAGTGCTGCACAGCCCCAATGTGTAATGTAGCATTTGTAAAGCACACACCATTTTTCTTCTCCACACAAATCCACATCTTATAACTGCTTTATATACCCGATACGCTGAAGCAAATTTTGGAGCGCATGCATTTTAGATGTATATAAATAGTGGCATTATTACAACTAACATAACAAAACAGAATTTGTTGTGAGGTATTGTTTACTTGAAATAAACACAATTTTGTAATAGGATCAACTATATATTTAAAGTAAAAAATAATTAAACAAACTTTTGTAACTATCTTGGAATGGTGTGCGTGTGGCTGTGTGTGTGTGTAGAGAAGGTTGCTACAACAGTGAGCCCCCATGAGATCTAAAACCTAGATTTCCCACAGTTATTTGGGAATCCTCTAGATCCAAACTGGAAAATCTTATCGATGTTAGATACTGTGCATTTATTATTTTGTGACTGAGGACAGTGTGATTAATGTCAAGTAATATGAGACTTGGTGGAGTTTGTAGTATGATGGGGACGTGGCGCCTTATATTGAGTTAAAAATTGTTCTCTCTAAAAATGTCGCATGTTGGGCCCCAAAATTTCAGCAACATAGACTGTAGGGATGTGTGCATGTGTGTGCCCTTTAAAAGGTTGTAAAAATATGTTTGGGGTCACTGTGGCCTAGAATTGCCTCTCTAGGTTACAGTAGCAGACTTCTCAGTATTGGCTGCGTCACTAGGAAGAATTGGGAAGAAAGCTGCTAAGTGCAAACCAACATAGGTTTGGCCATCAAGAAAAATCTTGTCTTACCTTTATGGAAAGAAGTCTATTTCTTTGGTAGGCTGTGTACTTTATTATTGTTGGTAAGTAGAATTTTATTACCTCTCATTTAAGGGTTTGATTTAACTTTTTTTTCCTCCAGCCCCTTGAATACATTAGCATGTATTACAGTCAGAGAACTGAGTGAAATCCCCCCCTTTCCTTCCCTCTATGTACTATCGCTGATTGTGATAGTAACTGTTTGTCACCCCAAGTTCTTCTCTGTGTAAATCTTTGGTTGAAGCTGTCAAATATGCATCCACTTAAATCCCAATCATTATTTTGCCTGTGGATTTTGGTCATATCATCTGGTTTAATAGTGGTATTGCCTGGTATTCCAGGACAAAGAAATCATTTGGAAATGAAATAATGAAACTATATTGCACCTCTTATTACTACATTTTCTGCTAGCTTCCATTCAGGGAGGAATAGAGTCCCAACTGTAAATGAAAAAGTATCTTTATTACAGTGATTTGGGGTATATTCTCTCTCTCTATTTTTTTGTATATTCTCTCTGGCTGATTTATTTCCTATACAGCATCCCATTTCAGATAGTGATTGGGATGTTACTTGTAAGTTAATCTTTCATCATGTATATTGAATTTTTTCTACTGTGCTGATTTCCAAAATTGGCATTATGCTAAAATGATTTGCTTGCAATCCTTCATGCTAACAGGCAGAAATCTCTCAAATTCAAATGCAACTGTTTTTTTAAAAAAATAAATGACAATGTTCTTAATCCCAGTCAAGCTTGCTGGTTTTACACATTCATTTCTGATTGACTATTTTAGCTCAGCATCTGGTGGTAGTTTATATTTTTAATGAAATAATAATTGACGGCTTTCCCCTATTTTATCTTACTTTAAGCTCTCTGTTAATTTCATCTTTTAACATTGGTTATACATTTATCCTAAAATCCCATGACCTTTTTATCTTGCAAGGTAATTCTCCTTTTAAAAAATCACTTAATCGCTTGCCCACCAAAACATGATTCTAAGATAGAAGAAACTTCTCATAAAGGCAGGCATTAAAGACCTGACAAATTGTTCCTCTAAACTGCTTTTTTGTTGAGCATCCTCTAGTCTGATCTGCCAACAGGCATCCACATTGCATTAATGGTTGTGCAGAAGGGTAAGCCGACTGCTCAATATATCTCCTCTGTTCTGCAGCCAAGACAAACACAATGGATTTACTTACTCACTTTAACCAATCGCATGCACATATTAAATCTATTTCTAATCCATAACCAGTGCTGTGTACTCTATGGCAAAACTTCCCAGGACATTTAATGAAGTTTTTTTTTTAAATGACCTCCACGCTACCTCCCCACACATGCACACATGTTCAAATACAAAACCTAAAACTATTCTCTGTGAAGGATGACAGACAATGCCTGAAATAAATATTGCCATTGTTTCCAATTATTCTAAGCATTCTAGCAGATGACTGGCAGACGACCAACATTCATAAGTTGCAATAAAAGTAAACATTGGTTTCAAAGTAGATGCTTAGCCTGTGGTCATAGAGTCCCATTATGATGGCATATAGAGACAGTGCTGAGGGTATCCTGCTCCTTTTTGGAACGCACAAGCAATTCAAATATTTCCCGCTGCCAGGTAATGGTTTTGTGCAAATGAAGAGCAGTCTAAAGGCACAAATTTAACATAACCCATTGATAACCAAGAGATTCCTTGTTGCTGCCTAACTTCACACAAATATCTTCAGCAGATATATAATTCAAATACATGCTGGCAATAAAAAAAATGTAGGTACTGACGTTACCTATCTTTAAATCAAAGCTTATTAAGCATTAAGAAGATATTAAAATAACCTTGGGTTGCAAAAAATCAGCTAGTGATATTAAGCACGTGAAATACTTGGTGTTTGATCTAAAGCTTTTGGCTATATGCTTGCTTACCTTTTGCAAATTGCACTCTGCCTTCCCTTTTATTGGACTCCCCAGACCGAGGGCTAAAAAGAGGTCTTGTTACTTCCAAATGCTTTTGTTCTTCTGCCCCTCTATCACATGGTTTGCCTTTTATATTTGCAACACACAAAAGTTAGGGCTGCTGTTTAAGCAAGAGAAAAGGGGGGTGGGCGAGTGGGAACAGAGTGCAAGGGGGGAGAGAGAGAGAGAGAATGTCAGATGGAAAAGTGCCATTGCAGCCATCGATCAATCAGGCAAGCTGCAGCCGTACAGCAGCAGCACAGCAGCAGCAGCAGCAGCGATTCACCAGCAAATGGGAATTTGCAGAAACGTGAAGCTCTTGTTATCTGAGAGATCACTAAATTCCATCAGTCCAACTCCGTTCTGCAGGAGTTTCTCATTGGAGAGAGGCATAATTGTATGTTAATGTATGGAAATATACAATGCTTCAAGCTAGGAAGGCATGAAAGTTTGGAGCCCTCTATGCAGACTATATCTCAGTACCAAGAGCAACTTACTTCACATAACTTTGGTCATGCTTACATGCACTAGATGTGAAAAATCAGGCACTGTCTGGAAAAGAATACAGTATTTCAAATATTTATCCCCAGTTTATGGCTTGGAACCTAAAGAGGAGATGGGTCAGCTTATAGAAGTCTATAAGGCAATACATTATCATATTAGCCTAACACGAAACCTTTATAAATAAACACGGAATTGTAATTCTGAACGCTTTTTCCCACTAGCTTGAAAGTCTCTTTTATTAAAGACTAAAGCTCAGAGAATAGCCTGCTCATGAAGCATTAATGCATACTTGCCAGCAATTTCTTCTATCACTTTTTTCCCCTTTTCCATGTCCTTTTTAATTGAGTTGATTCATTGTCTTAATCCTTTTGGCTTAAACTTGAAGTATTAGGAGCAAGATGTTAATGACCCACTTCTAATGCTGGACGAGTTGAAATCTAAGCACAGAAAAAGTACCCAGTGTAATAGATGCTGTGTTCTCGTTCCTTGATACTGACTGGGCTAACAAGATCCATAGGATGAAACCTGCTCCTTTGCCACACACAGACCCTACAGTATATTTCTGTAATGCTCAAAGGATTAGTACTGGTTCACACAACTCAGTGCCATCCATTAAAAATAAAAGCTTAGCACTTTGAGCTTCCAAGTGGAGTGCACATCTTTCTATCCAAAACTGCTTATGCAGGGAGCCCTGGTTCCCAAACGGGCAGACATCCTGAGTCAATGTCGTCACAGTCTCTTTAGACTGTGTTGTTAATATCTGAGCCTCTTCTGTGGTAAAAGATCAAAAGACAAGTGGAAAATTAGGCTGTAAAAATAGACTCCTCCAAAAGGGGAATGGCTGGTAGATGAATAAGCATCATGCACACACAACAAAGGAAACATTCTTCAACTTGATCTGTATAGTTAGACTTGGCTGGGAGGAAAGTAAGTGGACCACTTTGGTTTTAGGCTGGCTTGAGGGAGCCATTTCTTCCAGCCAGCCAGCCCATGGGATACAATGTAATGCTTCCCTTTCTTCTTGTAAAAGAAGAGGAGTGACAGTCTATGGTGACCAAAAATCAGGAATCTAATAGCATTTTTTCTGACTAATACATGTTATTAAAAGGCATAAGCTTGTATGTACTACCACAAGTATATGTTTCATGGACTATGTACCCATAATTCACCAAAGGTAACATTATACAAAATATCCTATTCTTTTAAGAAAATGGGAAAGCTTCTGTTGTTTTTTAACTGAAATATTTGCCACAATTATTGCTTGCAACAATATGTTAAGGATCAAATCTTCACGAATCAAAATTTATTTCCATTCCATGAAACTTACAACATGGTTTTAAGCCCCTGCAGCTTTGCAAGTGAAAGCAACAGGTGAAAGTGTTCATGGATTGAATTCATGTAATATAAGGAAAAAGAAAATGTGTCTTACAATATATATCTATAGTTCTGGGGGGAAAGTCACTCAGTAAAGTGCACTTTTATCATGCTTTCCATAGTTGAGTATGTACAATGCCAACAATATAGTTGCCTAAAAATAATATGCATTATTTATGCACTCTACAAATAGCAATAGCATTTAGACTTATATACCGCTTCACAGTGCTTTACAGTCCTCTCTAAGCAGTTTACACAGTCAGCGTATTGCCCCCAACAATCTGGGTCCTCATTTTACTGACCTCAGAAGGATGGAAGGCTGTCAACCTTGAGCTGGTCAGGATTGAACTCCTGGCAATGATAAATAATATGAGGGTGAAATAATTTACTGCTAATTCTGTTGTATCTCTTGCGCCAGTTTCTATTAATTTCCTTTTAAAATAAAAGTCTTGAAACTGGAATTTTGACATAGCTGCCATTTTTCCTCATAAAACTGTATATGATGAGCTGCATAGTCCAATACCTTAAGTGTCCCAAAATAATCTACAATTTACAGATTACAATCAATATACTGTCAAGTATATACAAGTACAATAATACGATCAATAAATACAGAACAGAACCATCAAATGGTTTTTGAAGATGAATATAACTGCAGCCTTGGGAAAAAAGTGTAATAGAATATCTTCAGCACACTATTTGTCCTAGTATTGTCAGGGAATCTACCACAACATGTCATGTGTAATTAGCCTATGGAGTAAGCCATCACAGGAACAAATGGCAGCATCTCCATGGATGGGGAGAGCTTCTTTCTAGTTGGGCTTTGTTGTTGGCTGTTCTTTTGCTCCAACAGAGAGGGGCTTTAAAGATTTTTGGTTCCAGTAGTGAAAGCCAATATCAAGCTTCCTGGTTCAGGGTTCACCTTCTTATATCCTGATTATTGAGATCATAGCTTCTAATGGATGGTTACTCCAAAGCCTAGACTGCATGAATGCAATTTTTCTGCTTTGTTTGAATAGGTCTCTTACAACTGGATTCTGCCCATAATGATTGAGAGAAATTGTCCATATTTTATTCCTTCAATACATAGAAACATTATTTTAGCATAATAAAATTGTCTATTTCAAGTATGCACAGAATTGAGAAGAATTACATTTATAAATAGAATATTATTTCTGCCCTTTAGATATGTCTATTGAGTTATCACTCCATTTATAGCTATATTATTTTCCTGCTTGAGCATCAAGGCACAAGCCATGAATTGGAGGCAAACATTCCAGCTGTTGAGATATTCAGACCATGGGTAAATCGGGGGGGGGGGAACTCAGGTAAAAATAACCCCCCCAAAATGTGTTTTTCCCCTTCCTTATGTCTTTTTTAAAATTCTATTCATGCAAAACAATTTATTCTAAAAGCTCTCCTTTTGCTGGCCTCCCACAAAAAATAAGGCAAGGCAGAAGAGGAGGTATCATTTTGCAATAGATTTTTTCAAGCTGTTCCATTACTTATCTTTGCATTTTCCTGAATGTGCTAGCAGCAATAATAGGGCCCAAAATTTCCAAGGATAGATTGAAAATTTAGTTAACTGGAACAGGAGGCTTTTTGCTGCAGTAAAATGGTGGATAGATGCCAAGCTTCCCCATTCCATGTGTATATATTTATATGTGTGTTTGTGTATATGTGTGTGAGAATGAGAAACTCAGCCAATCACCCGCATCAGATAGGAGAACTCCCATTAAGTGATAATCAAGCTCTGCAATCCTTTCTGTATTTTCATCTGACTGTGTGGAAGAACTCAGTAGGCACAAGAAGATGGGTTGAGGCATGTCTCTTCCTTCACATCATTATCTGTCAAAGAAGAGCTGCTCTAAAGGTTATTGACCATTGTCCCATCCTCTCCCAGGGGCTCTCTCTATCTCTATCCCTGTCTCTGCCATTCTCAGGTAATAACAGTGCTGTGTGATACCATATATTTCAGTGTGTTTCTTTGGAAATGGAACCCCGAACACTGAAAGATGGGGGAAAAAAAATAAGCTAGATTTGTGCAATTTTGGAAACACAAGAGATTGTCAAGAGCTTTTGAGATTCTCTACAATCCCCCCACACTTAATTAAATGTGCATTTTATGAAAGACCAGACTCACCATTCAGCATTTTGTAAATAGGCAATCTACCATACCATCCATTTTTGAGACATATATAATATGCTCTGAAATGGTTAAATATGGCCATTAGCCTCCAAAGCCTTCCTATCCTTGCTATGCACATTCCACTTTGATTAAGCCTCATTGTATTGAATGGAGCAATGTAAGTTTGTCTACCAGAGAATGTGAATTTTTAGACCTCAGTGTTTTGGATGCCTCGTTCCCACACTTTATTCTAAAATCAGCATAGCGACTTTGCACAGCACAGATTATATACAGATAGAATTTTAAGTCATTGAATAATGCATTTAATTTGTATTTATTTTATTTATTTATAATTTCATTTAGACCCAACTTTTCCTTGACACCTTTAGGCAGCATGCATGAGTACTTCCCATAATTTATTCTCCCAACAACAGCAGGAAACCACAATAATGGAGATACATGGATGATGGTGATGTCATCATGTAAATGCCATGAATGATATGTGCATTATGGCACTTAACACAAATGCATATGGTGTGAGATTTGTGTGATGTTGTCACTAACCATGTTGTATCATTCCACCCACCCACCCCCGCTTGCCTTCCCACACAAAAGCATGCACAACTATAGCTGTGAAAGATAGACTAGGCCAAGGATAGGGAACCTTGGCTCTTTTATGACTTGTGGGGATCAATACCCAGAATTCCTGAACCAGCCATGCTGACTCAGGAATTCCGGGAGTTGAAGTTCACAAGTCATAAAAGAGCCAAGATTCCCTACCCCTGGACTAGGCTATTCGTCTGACCCCAAATTCCCCGTTAACTCCAGTGTTGAGTGGGGAAGTAAAATTTCATCTTTGAAGAGCAAGTCCAAAATCTTATCATACTACTACATTAGACTGGTTGAAAGAAATTGTATCTGAATTTCAGGAAAATGTGATTAACTACACATACCTAAGCATGCATGCTGTTTTGTTTCTTTGGGGGCGTGGGAGGGAGTTAACAAATGTATGGTCCTGAAGCACTTCTGTTCAGCTAACCACAGCTCTCTGATTTGGCAGTTAGTACAGCAGAGTTATCAGGTGATCCAAGAACATTGCAAATAATATACACCAACCATTCCCATTAACCCAGATATCTTTAGCTTGGAGGATAATAATTAACACATATGGGTATTTAGTGCCACAAATTGAGATATTCCTCTTTAAAGAATTAATTACCAGCTATT